CCCGCCCGCGCCTGCCAGCTGCCCTCCGACTGGAGGCCCCTGAGCGAGGGCTGCCGCGCGGAGCTGGCCGAGACCATCGTGTACGCCAAGGTGCTGGCGCTGCACCCGGAGGAGCCCGGCCTCTACAACTACCTGCCCTGGCAGTACCACGCCGGCCAGGGGGGGCTCTTCTACTCGGCCGAGGTCGAGATGCTGTGCGACCAGGCGTGGGGCAGCATGCTGGAGGTGCCCGCCGGCTCCAGGCTCAACCTCACCGGCCTGGGCTACTTCTCCTGCCACTCCCACACCGTGGTCCAGGACTACTCCTATTTCTTCTTCCTCAGGTGAGCCCGGCACCGCCGTCGCCACCGCCTCCTCTGCCTGTAGGTGAGAGTTTCCTGCAGCCAGGTGGGGGAACCCCAGGGGTCCTGTCCGTGCCAAACCAGACTATGCCCTAGGGCCCTCCGCTTCAGGCTTCTTTATTCTCTCCTGGTCCGTCGGACTTCTCCGCAAAGATCCTGGCACCCCCCCTGCCTAAGACTCTTTTAAAAACGCAGATGATTTCGGAGTTAAGGTACACAGAGCCCGTGTTTCAGGCACAGGGTCAAAAGTGTTCTCCAACAATCCATTTGACTCATCTTTTAAACTGGCTTCAAATAGGGTAGGAGTAGATTAGGATGGGCAGAAAAACAGTCTTTCCACTCAGTCATTGGGATCCGGGCTCTGCCCTTCTGCCTGACTGATATTTGAGCCGGTTATTTCTCAAGAACTTCCACAACTTCGCTTGCATAAAGTGAGAAGCAAGGCCGGTTGGTACTAAAACACAGTAATGCCTGCAAAGCACCAGTGAAGTTGAAGTGAAGAGAAGTTGCTTAGCCAATCTTCATTCTCTCCCCGCCAACCCCTTCCATTGACTTCAGTGCAAGAATGCACTGTCTCCCATCACCACTTGGTTATCTAAAACAGCAAAGGTTTGATGGGAGGGCCTGCTAGGGTTCAGACCCTGGGTAACAATGTTTTGAAAAGAGGCTGCAGATAGTTTCCAGTGATTCTCGACCTCCTGTGGTCTGTGACCATCCAAGCAATTGGCCTGTGGTCAGGATGGAATGCTCTACCCAAGAGTTCAGTCAAGTCTTATTGACTATAAATTCTACCGAAATTTGAAATGCAGAACAGCAGATGGAACCCTAAATCCATTGATTAACTGCAGTTGAATTAAGAGTGATATAGAACATCTGAGAGAAACATCCAAATGAAATCTACCTGTATTTCAAGATAGTGAAGTGAATTGATGCAAAGTTGTCTCTGATCAATGACAGTTCCAGCCTCCCCAGTCTGAGGTGGCATGACTCTGCCTGGATTTGCAGATCCATTTTTTAACTCACATTCTTTCTCAGAAGGAAAACAGTTCCACAGAGGGACGTTCATAAGCTGATGGCAACACGTGTTTTCCATATTGAAGCCAGAATATCCAAGTTTAGAACACATGTCCTGCTTTGTGTTGGCTTGAGTGGTTTAGCTAGATAAGTTTTTTCTTTTTTCTTTTTTCTTTTTTTATAATTGCCAGGAAAGTCTAGTTTCTAAATAAAGTCTGTGAGGACTGAGAGAATGCCCTTTCTGATACAGAGAAACTTAGGTTTTTCATGTTTTTATTTAGGAAAAATACTGAGAACCAAGCTCTAAAAACTATTCAACAACTCTTTTATTTTCCAAGAGTGGGGGGTGAGCCCAAGTACTTGAGCAGACATTATTGTTTCCAGTTTTTTAAATCATGAAATGCAGTTTTGTCCACTGGCTCCGGTGGTCAGCCAACTCTTTCATCTTTTGCTCTTACATATCTACAAAAAGTTAGGGCAGACATACAAAACAGTAGTCTGACAGATTCTCATTTTACAGGGCTGTCTTGCCCTGAAGTGTGTCGACAACTGCATACAAATCTTTCCTCTTTTGTTATTCTGGGATCCACTAGATGGGAACAGACTCTAGAAGGGGGAGTGGCAGAGGAGACTCACTGGGGAGGTTATCCTGCCTGCTTTTGCTCAGATTGTAATTCATCTCGTTTTTCTTTTTCACGACTTAATCTTTCCAGCAAGTGCTTTCTACAAGGCTCTGTTAAATGACTCACTGATAAATATATTTATTATACATGTAAATATATTTATTTATGTTACCTTCACTCTGCTCCAAGTGCTTTATTGTATTTTCTAGTGCAATCCTTGCCACACCACCAGGAAAGTAGGCACTATTATAATCCTGTTTGAACAGATGGGAATACTGAAGCTTAGAGAAATTGAAACGTGTCGGGTCTTGAGTCCATGTCATTATGACTGGCCTCTCACCAGGAAAGGAGATCCAGGAGGAGGAAGGCCCCTGGCATACACAGAGACAAACAGATGTATGCACACACTTTCCTGCCTCCTTTGGCCAAACTCATTCTTTTGAAAACCTTAAGAATAAACCCAAATAGTGAGAGACAGAGAAAACAATTAGAAGTTGTAACTGCTTCATGAGAGCCATGCCAGACATCACAATGAAATTGGCAAGACCCTTGTTTTGGTTAGCTATTTTGCCTCTGTGACTAAAAGATCTGACCAGAACAATTGTAGAGGAAGAAAAGTTTGAGGGCTCATGGTTCCAGAGGTTTTAGTCCATAGAAGGCCAGCTTCATTCTTCAGGGCTTGAGGAGAGGCTGAACATCAGAGTTGTTGAATAGTTTTTAGAGCTTGGTTCTCAGTGGGAGAGGGCGGTGGAGGAATGCATCTCACATCATGGTGATTAGAAAGTAGAGAGACTCTATTTTCCAGAAAAACAAAATATATACCCCAAAGCTATATGCCCTAATTCCCTCCTCCTGAAGCCACACCAACCACTTCAGTTACCACTCAGTTAATCCCTATAAGGGGATTAATTCATTGATTGGGTTAAGACTCTTACAACCCAATCATTTCTCCTCTGAACCTTTTTGCCTTGTCTCACATATGAGCTTTTGGGGAATACCTCATATCCAAACCATAACAACCCTCACATTCTTGATGACTCTTGATTAAAGTTGGTATGTCCCCAGTGGTCATGTGTATATCTCTGACTTTTTTCTCTTCTCTATTAGGATGGATGAAAATTATAACCTCTTGCCTCATGGAGTCAATTTCCAAGATGCCATCTTTCCAGATACACAGGAAAACAGGAGGATGTTTTCCAGCCTTTTCCAGTTCTCTAACTGTTCCCAAGGGCAGCAGCTAGTGACTTTCTCCAGTGACTGGGAGATCCAGGAAGACAATAGGGTAAGAATTGGCTGAACCCTGTGCCATGTAGTGAAATAGCAGGATAGCCCTATCTTGTATGAATTTTGTAACCAAAGGAGTTAAGGGTCCTGTTCCAAAATCTGGACCAAAGCCCCCATCCTCTTCTGTTTCCTTCCCATGTCAGGAAACACTGCTTATGAACTTTGGATTCCTAAGGCTTTTGCTGTTTGATAAGGGGCTTTCCTCAAAGTGTGGAAACGAGATGGGAGGAGGGTTGGCACACTGTGCCTCAGTTTCCCCTTCTGCAAAAGGGAGAGAATGGTAGCATTTATATGATAGGACTGGCCCCATATGATTTAAATATATAAAAATGTAAATGTGTAAATACCTTGACAATGTGCTTAAAAAGTGTTCAATACACATAAGTCATTATGACTGTTGTTATTGACAGTCTAGGGTTCTAAGTAGTTGTCTTTTTTCAAAAATATTTTATTAGTTGTTGATGGACTTTTATTTATTTATATGTGATGCTGAGAATCAAACCCAGTGCCTCACACATGCTAGGCAAGCACTCTACCACTGAGCCACAACCCCAGTCCTAAGGAGTTATCTTTGAAGGGAAGAAAAACTCCTTAAGGAGATGAAACTAAACAACAATCATAGCTAACACTTCTGTGATTTTTTTTTTATTTTTAAAATTTATTTATTCTAATTTGTTATACATGACAGCAGAATGCATTTCAATTCATAGTACCCACATGGAGCACAATTTTTCATTTCTTTGGTTGTATACAAAATAGTCATTCCATTCGTGTTTTCATACATGCACTTAGGGTAATAATGTCCATCTCATTCCACCATCTTTCCTACCCTCATTCTCCCTCCCTTTCCTTCTCTCTGCCCTATCCAAAGTTCCCCCATTCCTCCCATGTTATCCCCCACCCCAATTATTGATCAGCATTGACTTATCAGAGAAAACATTTGACCTTAGTTTTTCTGGGATTGGTTAACTTCACTTAGCATGATACTCTCCAAGTCCATCCATTTACCTGCAAATGCCATAATTTTATTCACTTTTAATGCTGAGTAATATTCCATTGTGTATATATACCACAGTTTCTTTATCCATTCATCTATTTAAGGGCATCTAGGTTGGTTCCACAGTTTAACTATTGTGGAATGAGATGCTATAAACATTGATGTAGCTGCATCCCTGTAGTATGCTGCTTTAAAGTCCTTTGACTTAAAAGGACTTAGGAGTGTAATAGCTGGGTCAAATGATGATTCCATTCCACGTTTTCTAAGGATCTCCATACTGCTTTCCAAATTGGCTGCACCAATTTGCAGTCCCACCAACAATGTATAAGTATGCCTTTTCCCTCTACATCCTTGCCAATACTTATTGTTGCTTGTATTCTTGATAACTGCCGTTCTGACTGGAGTGAGATAGAATAGTTTTGATTTGCATTTCTCTAATTACTAGAGATGTTGAACATTTTTTTATATATGTGTTGATTGTTCTCTCTCCTTCTGAGAAGTTTCTGTTCAGCTCCTTAGCCCATTTATTGATTAGGTTGTTTGTTTTTTTGGTGTTAAGTTTTTTGAGTTCTTTTATATATCCTGGAGATTAGTGCTCTATCTGTGCATGTGGCAAAACTATGCTCCCAAAATGTAGGCTCTCTGTTCACCTCATTGATTATTTCTTTTGCTGAGCAAGAAACTTTTTAGTTTGAATCCATCCCATTTATTGATTCTAGATTTTATTTCTTATGCTTTCGAAGTCTTGTTAAGGAAGTCAGGGTCTAATCTGACATGATGAAGATTTGGGCCTACTTTTTCCTCTGTTAGGAATAGGGCCTCTGGATTAATTCCTAGATCCTTGATCCACTTTGAGTTGAATTTTGTGCATGGTGAGAAAGAAGGGTTTAGTTTCATTTTGCTGCATATAGAATTTCAGTTCTCCCAGACTATTTGTTGAAGAGGCTATCTTTTCTCCAATGTATGTTTTTGTTGCCTTTGTCTAGTATGAGATAACTGCATTTATGTGGGTTTGTCTCTATGTCCTCTTTTCTGTACCATTGGTCTACAAGTCTATTTTGATGCCAATACCATGCCGTCTTTGTTACTATTGTTCTGTAGCATAGTTTAAGGTCTGCTTCACTCTTCTTGCTGAGGATTGTTTTGGCTATTCTGGGTCTCTTATTTTCCCAGATGTACTTCATGTTTGATTTTTCTGTTCCAATGAGGGATATCGTTGGGGTTTTGATTGGAATTGCATTAAATCTGTATAGTGCTTTTGGTAATATGGTCATTTTGACAATATTAATTCTGCCTATCCAAGAACAAGGGAGATCTTTCCATCTTCTAAGGTCTTTAATTTCTTTTTTTAGTGTTTGTAGTTTTCATTGTTGAGGTCTTTCACCTCTTTCATTAAGTTGATGACTAAGTATTTTATTTTTTTGAGACTATTGTAAATGGAGTAGTTTTCCTAATTTCTCTTTCAGAGGATTTGTCACTGATGTATAGAAATGCATTTGATTTATGGGTGTTGATTTTATATCCTTCTACTTTGCTGAATTCATTTATTAGTTCTAGAAGTCTTTTGGTGGAATTTTTTGGATCCTCTAAGTATAGAATTATGTCATTGGCAAATAGTGATAGTTTGAGTTCTTTTTTTCCTATTCTTAGCCCTTTTAATCACTTTCATCTGTCTAATTGCTCTGGCTAGAGTTTCAAGGACTATGTTAAATAAAAGTGGTGAAAGAGGGCATCCCTGTCTTATTCCTTCTTTTAGAGGAAATGCTTTTAAAAAGTTTTCTCCATTCAGAGTGATATTGGCCTTGGGCTTAGCATAGATAGCTTTCACAATGTTGAGAGAAGTTCCTATTATCCCTAGTTTTTCTAATGTTTTGAACATGAAGCAGTGCTGTATTTTGGCAAATGCTTTTTCTGCATCTATTGAGATG